CCTTCAAGAAAGCTATGAAAGGCAGCTTAGGCAAAAGCCACTCTCACACCATCGGGATCAGAGTAAGAAAACCAATAGGAAAGCAGCGACTAAGATGGGAATGGCAAGGAGGAGACTAGTAGTAATAAGAAGATGCACGAGCTGTAACCTTATATACGTTATTGGACGATAGGGATTTTGAAAAGCTAGAGCTAGAAGAAAGAAAAGGAACAGACTTGATATACGAGATTGAGAGATTAGGGATCAGAGTTCATAAAAGGCGCTAGACAGTCCCAAGGTCAGGAAGGGAAAGGAAAGAGCTGCCCTTGAAAGGACATATCTAGCCAAAGCAAACAGAGAAAAGGAGCGAAGCCGCTCGACTGTAAGGAGAGGAGATGGAAGGGGAGAGAAAGAGTGAAGAGTCCCTCCCTTCATTAAGGGAATGGGGAGTCCGGGATAAAAGCCACAGTAGAGTAGATTGATAGATTCATAGTCCCGAGATGAGTGATCTCCTGAGATTATGTCTTCTTTCCCACCTTCTCTCATGGAGAAGGGATCAAAGTCAAGATGGAAAGAGAGAGATCAAAGCCTTTCCTTATAGACGTGAAGATAGTTGAATGCCATCACATGTCTTAGGGAAAGGGCTGTCCTTATAATCAAGCCGCTATAAAGCCGGTTGACCGATAGGGCCAGGAGCTGAAAGCCGCTTGAAGGAGTTGACGAGGTTCAGTAGGTCCCACGATGAATGAACAGGAGCGGAAAGGCTCGAGCCAAGATCATAGGATTGAACCTTCTGAGACTCGGTTTCAGGGGAAGAATGGGAGACCTAGATTTGAGACTCGTTTTCGTGCCCCCGCCTCTCTTCCCTCCACTCTTTAGCCTATCCCTTTGGTTGAGCTGGAACGAGTGCTTCCCGAGGAGATCATGTTCTCGCTAATCAAGCAATTGCGTCAGATCAGATAGATGCCTTAATCGGACCTTATCTAAGAGCTGGTTTTGTTGTCTTTGAAAGTACCACGAAACTATCTTGACAATCTCTTCTATAAGACAGAGCTCGTGTCAATCGAATGGGAAAAGTCCGATCCTCTGTCTTTTGCTTTGGATAGATCTCAAGGGCAAAGTACTCATTCCGGGCATGACTCGGAAGATGCAGGCACTTCAGGCCAGTCCTATTGGTTCCTCATTTTCCTATGGTCGAGCGGTTCGGTTAGCCTTTTTTTGAAGAAGAAGAACTTAGATGATGACAATGGACCTAGTCACGGAGCTTAGTCATAGGTGAGACTCTGATCCCGATGCCTGAAAGCTCTGTTCGCCTACTGGTGAGATAAGCAATCCTCCTTCCACGGGCTCAGATCTCTTTTGTTTTATACGGATTCAGAACTGAACTATTAATGATAGATACTCGCTTCACCCAACTTCTTGCTCTATCTCTTTTAATTGTCCTCTCGTCCAGTTGCTCAAGATAGATAAGCAAGTAGAACTTTGATTCAGGTAGCTCTATGTTGCTACGGTTGGTTCTGTTCTGTAATCAACTACCTGGGGCAAGTAGCTCCTGTCGGTTTAGAGCAAGCAAGGAAAGGTAAGAATAGATTAGATCGATCAAGACAGGTAGCTAGGTAGTTAGTTGTTCCTATCCGACTAGCAGCGCTTCCTACTAGTCGGATAGGAATGACAAGAACAAGAACTACAAGCTACCCAGCTCTTGGCTTGGTAATGCACTCGGGCATAGATCCATTTTTGTACTAATACAAATGCGCACTATCAGGAGCATCTTCCTGCGAGTCTGCCTAGCTATTAGGAAGTAGGGTCCTATAAATCCGGATATATCCATCTTAGTTACCGGAGTAAGTACCCATAGATGAACTCTTTGCTGAGAGCTTCTTTCTTTTTAAGTAGCTTTCCCGGCCTAGGGATCCGGTTTTTAGATGGGAAGCCTACCAACTAGCTTAAGGGGGCAAGACCCATATCCACTCGATTGAACAAAACAAGACCTGGGTTGACATCCATAAAGCAATTCCAATAAACAAAAAGGTTGGCCACTCGGGGATAGACTTTATTCCTCAGTGACTCAAAAATGCACCACCTCTTAGCTCAGCTTGGATGAGCTGACCTTTCTTTTACAATACTGGAATTTGCGCTTTTGCATTCCATAATGGAAAGAACCTCTTCGTCTATTCTATTCGAGGGATAGCAGCAACCTGTGGAAGAGGAAGAGAAGCACGACTCTCTTATACAATAAGTAGGGACCAGAGCTGCACCCTAGGGCGGACTGACTCAAAGAAAAGAAAGAGAAGGGGAAAGATTGAATCTTGGCAGAGTGACCCACTTTATACCCATCTGCCTATACGGGGCAAAGTCCTCACTTTAGGAAGAAATCCCGACTTGGGAGCTAAGCTTGGATCAGAGGTGGGCGGACCTTTACTCTTACTAAATTCTATTTCATATTTGTGCAGCCGCTCTAACTTCTATTGAGAGGCCCTTCGGGGAGAGAGCCATTATTGGGCATATAGAAAGACGTACTCTTCTGCGCCCCGACTACGTCCTCTTTTTTGTACCAAAAGGCCGACACTAACAGAGCAGGTAGCAAATGACGGAAAGGGGAAAGTACTGAATAAGACTAACAGATAGGCACGCACAATAGAAAGAATAGAAGGAAAGGGGCCTGGTCGTTTCTATGTCCCCAGTTGCATTTGGTAGGCAATCCAGAGGCAGGGGATCACCCAATGACTCACTCAATCTAAATGGAGTGAGGCCTAGCGTCGGAGTTGCGTAACTATGATCAGGTAGAAAGCCTCAGTTAGAGTAGAGTGACCGGGCTATGAAGTTAACCCATTCGGGTTGGGTTGAGCAGACGATCATGCGGACTATTTTTCGTCTTAAAGATCGTCAGCTCTTGCTCTCTTCTCTTTGGCAGTCAGATAGCGGGCAAGGACAGAGGTTATAATAGATTAGATGTTCTGCTAGGCTATAGGACTAAGAGCGGCAGCTGCAACCTATATATCCGATGCGTTTATCTGCTGTAGTTTATGTCCTTCTGAGTACTGGTATTAAAATCAAAGAAATTCTTAAGAAAAGATGCAGTAAAGAGAAGAACTCCCAGGGCTCTCTTCTCATAGCGTAGCAAGCTCGTGATCCCCCTCTATCATCGTATGAGGGGAGCGCGAGAGCAGCGTAGCCGCACTATCCTTCTTTTAGGACTTACATGAATTTCTTTCCCTTCCCTCCATACTGGTCTAAGGGCATCTCTCTTATTTATAGTAGGAGGTTTGCTATGTCCACACCCGATTCTATTACCAAATCACCAAATCCGTTGTCTATCCTAATTGGTTGTACCCCTCTGAGCTTGAATATGAGCTAAAAGCAGTTTGCTCTTCCCGTTGTTAGTGCTAGTTCGATTTCAGATTTCTAAATCGAATTCATACTCATAGAAAGAAAAGGACATTGGATTTGATACATGAAAACAACCGGAAAGAGAAAGACCAATTACTACATGTTAGCGAAGGCGACCAATGTCAAACTCAAGCCTTGCCAGCTTAAATAGAATATGGAGCTTCCTTAGTTAGTAGGCTACCGAGCTCTATGTGGTGGACGGTTTATGCCTTGTCGATCTTGCTCCTTGAATGAAGCCTTCCTCACCTTATCAATAAATAGGTATGTTTGGAGCGGGGAAAGTTAACTACTCCTTACCGTATTATCACCTTGCTTCTTATTCCCTGTCCTCCACAATGAGAAACATAATTGCGTGGAACGTAAGGGGGCCGCTAGGACCAATAAAAGAAGGTTAATTTACTCAATCTTTAAAAACGTCAATTGTGTGCTTACTATAAACTAGGGTAAAACATGCTCACTTTTCTCGTTTGCTTGATGTTCGAGGCGGGTATTCCCACAAAACAAAAGCGCTAGACCCCTGGTCCTTTACTTTAATCAACAAGGCTGCTTTCCCTGCTAACCCTTCTCGGAGATTGCATTGCCAGGTGTGATACGATCCCTTCTCGCCAAGGAAAGAAGTCCAATAGCAGCTGATCTTAGCTTTGAGTGCTTATTCCTTTTGTTCCCAGCTACATCTGAGAGTGGTCAAGAGCTTATTGGAATCAGAGCTTTTTCAAGCATTCTCATAGTAAGAAGGTCAACCGAAGCCAATCCATCTCTGTTAACGAATGCTCCTACTCCTATCGGTTCTATATCCAATTCCTACTGCTAAGGATAAGTAAGTAGGCAAGGGGAGACTTTCTTCTTCTAACTAAAAAAGCATAGGAAAATGGATTCTTCTCGAATTCCTTCAAAGATGCTTTTTTGATTCCCCTACATCTACGAATAGCTAAATGCTTTCCCACGTAGGGCTAACGATAAGGGAGGAGTTAAAAGGCGCTTTCTTTCACCCCTAAACCTAAAGAAGGGGAAGGTCTTTAAGGAATTATATTCTTATTAGTAGCAGACGGCTACCTTTAAAGATATAAGTACCCCTTTGTTCCAGCCCAGTCTCAAGATTTTGCATTTCAGGTTTCATAAGATAGGGTAGCATATAGCTTAGCCTCACTCCTCTAGCTGACGAAAGAATTTATTGTTCATTGACATCTGAGATTAGATGAATAATGGCACTTTTCCAATAGTACGGAAATCCACGCAAGTAAAGAAGTAACGATGCACTAGAATGCACGAATCCGATGTCCTAAGCATAGTGAGAGTAGGAATGCTTGGTAACATGCAGTCAGTCCGAGCTAGACAGTAGTAAGAATAAGTAAGGAAAGTAGCTAGGGAAGTAGGCTTAGCTCTTGTGCACATCTTTTGAGGGTTTACTTGCTTACTTCTTAGAGTAAGGTGAGATCCTTTATCAATGAGTTTCTTTCTCGATGCGAAGAAGATCCCTAGTCTTAGCCCTTGCGGTTCGAAGGTGCTTGATTCCTCAGTCGGAGGGGTTGAGGGAGGGATGGAAGAACTTCCGGAAACGGTAACACGGGGAACTTCACTCGCCTAAAGGGCGTAGCGAGAGAGAGATTTATATATATAAACTAGACAGCTTGATGAGAGCCGGGTGGGAATCTAGCCCAACAAATAGTCTTTCTCGTCGGACCCATATACCCATGACTGATTTCAGACTTTATCACACCTATTTCGGAGGATGGTCAACAGACTTGGGAAGTCACCTTCTTCTTTCTCATGCTATTCTATTACAATGTCTCAACTAATGCCTATTGCCTTGCAGGAAGTCGCCTAGGAAGAAAAGAAAGAAGCAAGAACCGGAGGCCTATTCTCAAATTCAGTGCATGAACCAAAACGGAATCCGATCCTTTCCTTTTAGTCGGAGTGGCTTCTCGCTCCTTCTTATGCCGGAGCTGAATGAAGGCTTTCGTCTTCGCCTTTTCTCTAAGGCCTATTGAACTGACTGCTACATAAGGCTATATTTACCCGACCTGAGAGCGCTTTTCATTGGTCTAACCGCCATACTATTCACAATTGCTGTAATTGAATCCGTGGAAGAACCAACAAAGCGATCTTACCTCCTCCGATAAAGAAGAAGAATCAAGTGTGACGCGAGTGAGACCGGAGAAGAGGCACTAAAGCCTAGACTTCTTCGGTGAATCGGCCCTTTCTATTTTTCAAATCGATTCTCTTCCTCAGCAAAGAGATCTCAAGCAGAGATTCGATTGGCTCAAAGTGATAGCGGCTTCTCCAATCTGACCTAGCTGGCGAGCGATCCTCCCAATGGCCGCGCGATGCTATAAGCGGAGCGATTTCTTGGTCATCAATATTGTTTTCTGCTTGCGATTATCTATTGAATAGCCTTCTATGCTTTGCTTTGGTGGTTTATCCTCGGTATTAAAGTCCCTGAAATCAAAAAAGAGAAGAATCTTAGTTCAGCATCTCAAGTGATTAGGCGGGGGCAGGATTCGAACCTGCAATCTTCAGGTCATGAGCCTGATGAGTTGACCAATTACTCTACCCCGCTTCTTCGCCTTATCCTTATCCTAATTGGTCCTACATTTGTAGTGGTTCTTAAAAAGGAATTCATTTTCATATTTAATAAAAATTTTATATGAATGATGTCCTCATTAGCCATCTATTCCTGATGAAGTTGAAGCTGACAGAGAGTGGAGTACTTCATTCCTCCTTTTTCTGAACTTTGATTGAAACGTGTTAGGCGTAGACCTAAAGAGGCTTCCTTTCTTAAGAGTGACATGATATTGGTTGAAAAAAGTTAGAAGACGCAGGGCATGTTAAATTAAACCTGGACTGTTGTAGTTGTTAAGGATCTAAAAGATATCCCATTTGATAGCTATGAGCCAAACAGAGTGGGTGAAAAGATACACGTTGTCAACCCCAAAGGGTTTAGTTCGTTGATGTTGTTTAGGATTGGAGAAATTTAATACCGTTATCAATAATCTTTTACAATCCTTCATTTTATTTCTTCTGTCATAGTAATTAAATTTATTTCTAAAGAGAAAAGACCAAAATGCCATCCTCCAATTATTTCACAGAGGAGCTGCCAAGAAGCCAGTGGGAATTCTGCACGTGAAGGTTGTGAGAGCAACAAAACTTTTAAACATGGATTTTCTCTCAACACCTGATCCCTACGTTAAACTCAGCCTTAGTGGGGAAAGGCTTCCGGCTAAGAAGACTTCTGTCAAGATGAATAATTTGAATCCCGAGTGGTTTGAGGATTTCAAGATGACAGTAAAGGACCCCCAGTGTCAAGTCCTTCAAATGCATATCTATGACTGGGAAAAGGTTCATTACTCGTAACTTCATAATATCATCATTTCCAGGCATACTTCTGAAGCTATTTTTTGTTTTTTGCTTTTTTTTTTTTTTTTCCAAAGTTTATATCAACTTTTCATTGAAAAAAGGCAAAAGTACTTCACTCAAAATTTCTTAGTGATTACAATATCCTTCTTACAACTTGTTTTTCTTATCTGCCTTGCAGTTTGGAGCACATGATTATTTAGGGATGCAAGTTATTCCGCTGAAAATACTCATTCCATACGAGAAGAAAGAATTCATACTCAATTTGCTAAAAAGTGTGGATCCTGATGACCACATAACAAGAAGCCTTGAGGTCAAATTACAGTGGAGACAACATTTATTCCTTTCTTAGAAGACAGTAAAAGATTTTGTGGAACTATGGATTATGAGCAAAATGGAAGTTCTCATGATGCTTCGGAGAAGGTTACTTTGATAGGAACAGGTTTACTTTTAGTTACAATCATAGGCGCAGAGGATGTCAAAGGCAAGAAGCACAACCACCCTCATGCCACGATCCTCTTTAGAGGAGATAAGAGAAAAAACTAAGGTGACTTTCACTAATCCTGCATCAATCAAGTACATCATGGCTAAACTTGACAGTTTTTATGCATTTGTCCAGACAATCAAGAAAACTAGGAATCCAGTTCGGAAAGAGGAATTTCAGTTTGTGTTAGAAGAGGCTCCGGTAAAGGACCTAATTCACATTAAAATCATTAGCAAGAGAAGACGCCGTCTTGGTTTTATGTCAAATGTTGTATCTTCATCCTTTATTCTTCACTTTCACTTTCATGTCATTTGAAATACGAATCGATTAATTTGTGTGTATCGTATAGGAATCACTGGCGCACGTGGATATAAATCTCTCAGATGTAGTTTACAATGGGCATGTCAATGAGAAATACTATCTTATCGATTCTAGAGATGGGGTAATACATGTAGACATAAGATGGAAGGTAATCTAATTACCGTTGCATAGTAGATTTACTTGTTTGAGCTTAGGTTCCATCTAAAGAATTTTGTATTATTTGATTTACAAATATGTATCAAATCATATATAGGAAAAACTAAGAACAAATAAAATATATTACTATTAAAAGTTGTATTATTTTGTAAAGTTTTTGTGACACTTATGGCTATACGACTATAAGAGCTCTGTATTATGGTCACGATAAATATCGACACTAGATTGATGATATTATGAATGATAAAAATATCTTTATGATTGTTATTCAAGAACTTAATTAGAATTATCATTAAATTTGGTAAATGCTTATTAATTGAGTGAGTGTAGTCTCTAAATGGTTTGATGATTGATTCTTATCAAACGCATCTTTTGACCCAATCTTTACAATGTTGAGAAGAATGGCAAATTTGAATTGGGTTTGTTAAACTATAATCATTCACGCACTGTTGTTTAATAAAAATATATCATGCTATACCTTGTGATTTTTTTTATTATTTTAACTTTTTTGGGGGAAATAAAACACCTTTATAATCTGATTACTTGAAAATCGATAGTCGCCTAACCGTACTAGAAACTTTACATTGCAGCCTTTTGAATTGCATAACGACAAATTTGTTTCTTTTTAAAATTTGGATCTTTTTTCTATCATATTAGTTGAAAAATAAGAAATTGTTGGACCCCAAAAAATTTCTTTTAAATAAGTGGAAATTATATGGAAGCCTACTGTTAAGGATCCAATTTCATAAATCATATGCTAACTTTACTACAAAAATCATATGCTTTTGTTAATTAATATATTATTATTAGATAAATATATTATCAGATTAAATTAATTTTATCCCAAACCTTAAAATTCCACTCCCTTCTTTCCATTTCCCATGTTCTCTTCTAACTTTCTATCTTCACCACCCACCCCCTCATATGGTGCCGCTCTCATCCGTCATTAGAGATGACAATCGGGTTTGTCGGCTCGTACCGCCCTTGGCTCGGTTTGAAAAAAGTTCGAGCCCGCTCAGGTCAAAGCTCTGGCCGAGTCCCAATTTTTAGGTGCTAGACAAAGCCTGAGCCGACCCGTGTGGCTCGCCGACTCGGGGAGAATTGATCGTATATGAAAAAAAAAAAAAAAAAATAATGGCAACAACATGCTGCTGCTAAAAAGAGGCAGCAAGTCGCTGCCAAACAAGGTAGTAACATGTTGCCTTTCTAATTAAAAAACAAAAAACAAGCAAACAAACAAAACCCGAGCTGGCCCAACTTGGCTCGACTCGAAAAGGCCCGAGCCGAAAGCTCGAGTCGAGCCTAATTTTTTGTCAAGCTTTTGCTTGGCCCAATTTGGGCTCGAAGAAAGCTCGAATATTTTATCCAAGCTGAGCTCGAGCCTAAAATTTCGACTCGTGAGCCGACTCGACTCGACTCGTTGACATCCCTACCCGTCATCCCTCTCCCTATTGGAGCACCACTGTATGAGGCGCGGCGCAGCACCACCTCGCACACAGCGTCACTTCGCCTGCTCCATGAAGACATAAAATTCTTGTGCACAACGAGACGACGCTGATGCTACCTGCTTCTTAGATGAATTCATCTCAGAGGAGGTGCATTGTGGTGGTGGTGGCCACGTGTTTGTGGGTGGTGCACTGTGGTGGCTGAGCGTTCAGGCCTAGCTGACTTTTTTTTTCTTCACTGGCGTTGGCTCCATCGCCTCTGTTTTTTCTTCTTCACCGGTGTGACGATCTAAGTGGTGGTGGTTGTGATGATTTTCTGTGGTGTTGATGGTGAAGTGATGGTTTGATTTGGCCATTTTGGGGTTTTTTTTGGTGGTTTGGAAATAGAGGTGGTGGTGATGCGGTTGCGATGGTGGTGGTAGTGTTAACGGTGGCGACAGCAGTGGTGTGGTGGTTACGGGTTGCGATTGTGGTGGCTGTGTAGTATAAAAGTTTTGTGACTAACTATTTGGGGGTTCGTCACCAACTGTCGAGAGCTTGTGGTAGTGGTGCTGGTGGTTTTGGTGACGACGATGGGGGTGATTCTATTGGAGGCAGTAGTGAGATGGTGGTCATAAGTGTTGGTGGTGATCACAAATTATTTGGTTAAATGTGACATTAAATTGATTAATCTGTATTAAATAAACATTATGTGACCAATAAAAAATATAAATTGTGACAAAGAAATAATGTGTAAACTAAAAAAATTGTTAATCTATGAACGATAATTTGATAATTTGTGACTATATAATAAATTGTGATTTATAATATTTGTGATTTGTGACCAATAAATTAATTGTGACTTATAAATTTTTTTGATTTGTGATCGATAAACAAACTGTGAACTATAAAATTTTTGAATTGTGACAAATAAATAATAAGGGTCTGTTTGATTGGAGTGAATTTCATAGAAAAATGTCATATTCGAGGAATTCATTTTTTACTTTGGTTGTTTGATATGAAAGTAAAAATGGAGTTTTTAATTCCAAGATACATGGATTTTGTTGATTTTTTTCTTTTCTTGTGATTTTGGTGATTTTTTTTTCCAACTTACATGGATTTTGTTTGCATTTTTCACATTTGCAATCAAACAGACTCTAAGTGAATAACTACATCATTAAATTGTGATCAATTGTATAGATCTGTGACCTAAATATAATTAATTAAATCATAAATAAATTTAAATAAAAATCTTATTTTTGAAGTTTAAAACTTGTTTTCTTGATTTTGAAATATGTGATACTTAAACTCCTACTCATGAATTTTTACGTTTAAATAATGCAACGCTTCAATCTCTTCAACGATAGCTGAACTTGCAGACATCTTCTATTGCTCAACTAGTGAATTGAATATTTTACTTCAATCCACACATACAACTTTCAAATCACTAACCCATTTTTTTTTTTTTAATTTTAAATTTTCTTCTCTTCTTTCTGTTTTTACACACGTTAATCTGTATGAGATTTGCCAAAGACTATGAACGTGAAACATTATAAGGCAATTAATAGGGTTAGTTTTGTCAGAACATTAGCACTTTCGGTGGTAGAATTTGGCCCTGACTCTTCGATGACTCAGTTTGCTTGGAGCTTTATGGGAAATATTAAAAGAATTTTATATTAGATTAAGTACTAAATTCATTTATTTTAAAACACAAAGGAACCTAAACAGAAAATGAGGGTTGTAAGAATTGAGAAAAATGTGATTGGAGAAGAGGCAAAATTTTATTTGTTACATCACATTTTAACTTTATTTAAGATCATCAATCTTTGCTTATTATAATCCTTATGTCCTTTATTTTTTTACGTATTTTATTTTCAATATTTTATTAACTAGCACATCTCATATTTCATAATGGTTTCCGTCAATCAAGTCCATTCGGAAGCATAAAATAACTTATTTTAAACATGCTTTTAAAAAATAATAAATGTAAAAGTGTGACAAAATGTTTTTCCCATTTTAAGCACACACGATAAAAACATTTTAGCTGAAACCATTATCAAATATCAGTTTTGCTAATTAATAGAATGTTAAAAATAAAAATATGACGAAAAGAAGTATGAAAAAAGTTTTACAATAAGCAAAGGTTGATGACTTTAAGTGAAATTAAAATATAGTGCTACTAATAAAAATTACGATGTAAGTATAATTACCCTTTATATTAACTACACTTAAAATATTTGCTCATTCTAACATTTATTCCCCTAACTTTTTATAACACATATTTATACTCAACACGTAAATGTCAGCCCCCTATCCTTTTATGTTATTTTTATTTTATTTTATTTCAAACATGCATACTTTTTTGCGTCGGATTCAAAGCAAAATCGAATTCTTCATTGGTACGAAGTCAATTTCAAATAAGGCAACTCCACATTTTTATTAAAAAAAATTATAAAAAAGTCTTGCCAATCACAGATATTGGACGTCTAGAGCTACGCTTGATACAATTCAGTTCAAGGGATGGCTCGATGAGAATAACATAAACTTTGAAAAAATAGAGCTAAATCGTTCGACTCATTATACACTTCTCTATGTCAAATAAATCCCAAATCTTCCAACAAGGTTTCTCAAACTCAATTTCGTAGGACTGTAAACTGGAAAATTTAATGCACCAAATCAAGAATTCCTGGACAGCATATGATATGGGGAATGGAATGGTAGTTTAAAAATAAAAATAAAATGTTTCCTATGAATACAGCATATTTGTTTCTCATGAATCATATTTATTTATCAAAGTATATCAGTTACTATAAATAATATTTCTTATTTATCAAAGTTTATCAGTTACTATAAAAGTATCTCTTGTCTTACTGTTATAGACTTATAGTCGGTCGTTTTTTTTTTTAATTAATTTTAACATTAACATGTCAAATGTTGGGAATCTGCGCCCATTTCAGATTTGCCCTCAAAGCATTCCTTTAAGAAATACCAAGAGAAACAGAAAAATAATAGAGAATAATAAAAATTACAAAGAAACGAAATTTACGTGAAAAAACTCTTAAACGAAGAAAATTCCTGGGCTGAATAAAAAGTTACTTAAAGATAAATTTAAGTCCATTCTCAAAGTAGGTAAAGCTGCCAAACACTACTTAATTCTAGACGAAAGTAAATAATAAAATAATTAAAATTTTAATTTATCTTTCTGCTGTCCATGATAGATATCAAACATGCTTCTCTGTGAATATAATATGTATATGTAATGCCCACACTATGCAAACTTATCAAAGAGAACCCACGTGAGAGTGTCCATTGTAGGCTTTTACCAGACGAAAAAGAGATAATCTTTTCGAGAAAGGCCAAATCTGAAAATTGAAGTTTACGGCTAGCCAAACATATTCAAGTTTTTTAATCTGCTTTCAGATTTTTTATTTTTTTTCCCGGTTGAAATGGCCAAAATAAATGCTGAATCACACAAACTTTGGCCGGTGGAAACTAGAAAATGATAGTTTCTTTTATTACACGATAAAAGTGTTACAATTCTCGAATAAAACAAAAGAAAAAGACTTGACGAAAAAAATTTGCATGTTTAGAAAATATGCGGCCCCTACCTAGTGTAGATTAAAATTGAATCAAAACCAATAACTAATTTTAACCACAGATATAATATAATGGAATTCGAAGTTTTTCGATCATACATTTTATCAACTTTTACCGGTACGTTATCTTGGTGTTCCGCTAATCTCTACCAAATTGAGGGCTTTGGATTGTAAGATGCTGGTGGATCGTATTATAGCTAGGGCTAAGAGTTGGACCTGTTAAGCGCTCTCCTATGCAGGGAGGTTACAACTTATTAAGTCAGTATTATTTTTTATTTAGGTCTACTGGTCCTCTGTATTTCTTTTACCCAAGGCTGTGATCAAGCAAGTGGAAAATTCATTGCGGGCCTTCTTGTGGAAGGGTAGTAACCTTGGCACCGGTGGAGCTAAAGTGGCTTGGGCAAAAATCTGTATACCTAAGGAGGAGGGTCGTTTGGGTTTGCAGGGCTTGGAGATTTGGAATAAGGCTGCCATGTTAAAGCATCTTTGGTCCCTTTGTTTGGATTCTGCCTCCTCTCTTTAGGTTTCGTGGACACGTTGTTATTTACTTAGAGGACGGAGCATTTAGGAATTGAAGTGTCCTGGGGATTGTTCTTGGAGTTGGAGGAAAATTCTTGGACTCCGGGATATAGGGAGGGACAAAATGAAAATCAGAATTGGGAATGGTAGACGTGCCTCGCTTTGGTATGATAATTGGCATCCTCTTGGCTCTTTAGAAAAGATTCTTGGAGAGAGGATCATTTGTGAATCCAGATTGAGTAGACCAGCTAAAGTGGCTGATATTGTGGAGGGTGACACTTGGAGATGGCCATCAGTTCGCTCCCCAGCTTTGTCTGATTTGATGCGAGATAAGCTTGATACTTTTCGGCCGGACAGTAATAAAGAGGATGTATTGCGATGGGAGGATGATACACGTGGAGTCTTCTCTGTTCGGAGTGCTTGGGAGTCTCTTCGACTTCGCTGCCCTAGGGTGACTTGGTATCACATTGTATGGTTCCCTAAATGTATTCCTAGACATGTATTTATCCTTTGGTTAGCAATTCAAGGTGGCATCTATACACAGACAAAGCTTCTTAGCTTTGGTTTGGTACATTCTATGCGTTGTGTGCTATGTGGATGTTCAGTGGAGGATCTGGATCATCTTTTCTTTGCTTGCCCATTTTTTGAGCGTGTTTGGAATGCTCTGCATGCGAAGTGTAACTTGCCTTGGGTCCAACGGAATTGGCTAGACACTCTTTCTTGGATGGAACAATTTCGAGGGAGGTCAATGTCCTCCATTGTTATTCGGTTAATGTTTGCAGCTTCGATTTATGCTATTTGGCGTGAACGTAATGCTAGGTCCCTTGGAGAGGCTCCTAAAAATGAGACTACTGTTATTCAAGATATTGTTTTTACTCTTTGTGCACGAGTGAATTTGTGCAGGAGCTTGGTTCCATGTAATGAAAATAGATGGCTCCAATGCTCTTGGGGGTTTTCTACAAATATTTTTTGTTCTCGTGATTAGAATATGAGTACTTTTCTAGAGTTTTGTTATTGTTGTTAGGAAGGCATTAATTCCTAACATTGTTTCCTGGGATATGCCCTTGTGATTTGTACTTATTTTTATACTTTGAATATAATATACTTACCTTATAAAAAAAAAGAAAAAAGAAACAGGGGCCTAGTATTGCTTACTCAAAATGTCCATGATGCATGAGGGCATGCTTCGTAGCAAGATACTTATATTGTTCCTCCAATTAGTTAATAAACGAAACTATTATTAAAAATCTAATTAGCCCCTATATGGGCTGGGCTCTATTTTAATCAAAATATATTTTTCTCTATCATTTTTTTAATCACACATTTTTCCAATAAAAAATAATATTACATATAAATTTTAAAAAAAAATTCTCTTTTTAAACCACACATTTGATTGGTGAATTGTTCTAGTGGTCGCTGAATTTAGGTCACTCAAATTTAAAACGTTGAGTTTTTGACCACTGAACTTTAAAAAATATTGCACATTACTCACTATAATCTCAACATTTTTTAAAATTCAACATTTATGCGAGAGAATAACGTACAACATTTTTCAAAGGTCAGTGGTCAAAATTCAACATTTAAATTTCAGTGAATAATAAAAAACATGAATCTAAGTTCACTGACCAAAATTCGATATTTTATACTCTCTCTCTCTCTCTCTCTCTCTCTCTCTCTATATATAAGGGATTTTATCCCTAACAAATAGCAATTTCATATGATTTTGAACAGAAATAATGCCCCCTGGGGTATATCCCAGTGGTATAAACGACAAGAGTGAGGTATACTCAATTTTGTTGGCAGCCACAGTTTGAGGATTCGATTCCTGAAACATTGATTAGGATTCTTTGTGGACACTAGTGTATAAGCAGCTCTTGTTTCCTGGTCTGCTGGACACATTCCGCGATTAATCTCTCTCACGATACTCAAAGGATGGGACGATGGATGACCCTTAAAGTTGGGGTTTAACTTTTTTTTTTTTTTTTTTGAACTCTAGAAATAAATTTGACAAATAGCACATACATTTCAGCTTGTACCCATGCATTTAAAAAGGAATAAAAATATAAGTGGGCCACACGTGCCAGAGTGCAGTATGCTGCTCGTATTTTTCCACGTACAAGACTGCGAGTTCTCCAAGTTGATGATTGTATTGTTCCGTTTCACCTACTAATATCTCACTACACACACACACACAGAGAGGCCCTTGCTATATATTGGCTTAAAGGCAAGATTCTTCTTTTCATTTCCTATTTGTAACAAACATTGGTAGATACAAATAAATACATATAAAAGGGGGAAATGGAAAGAGAAAGTGAAATGAAGACATCAAAATTCAAGAGGATTTGTGTATTTTGTGGGAGTAGCCATGGCAAGAAGATTAGCTATCAAGAAGCTGCTATTAATCTTGCCAAAGTATTGGTATGTATGAATGTATGTATATGTGTGTGGATTGCTTTATTTTCTTGGATTGTGGAGTTTATAATATAAATGTTATGTTTATCTTCACATGAGTTGTTGATATATGAATGCCAAATGGTTATTATTTTTTTCCCGTTGTCTTTGCATTATTTATGTGTTCTTTGACATGGATTTTATCAAGAACTTCACGGGCAACTGTTACTGGATTTTCAATGCAAATGAAGTTTTGATTTTTAAGTTTCCCCAGAGACTTTGCATGTAACGTCTTCATCTCTTTTGCTTTACAGGGTACCTCACCTCACCCCACTCCACCCCACCAAGTAGATATAGATGTGAAAGATTAAATTTTTGCATGTATATGGTAGAACCCATTTTAAACCCCACCCCACCCCCACAATACTTCACTTTAAGGTAACTTATTTGATATTTTCGTGTGTGCTTTTAGGTCTCTAGGAACATTGATTTGGTCTATGGAGGAGGCAGCATAGGCCTAATGGGTTTGGTTTCACAAGCCGTTCATGAAGGGGGTCGCCATGTTATTGGGTGAGTCTTGGCCTCAGTACTTCATGTGCTGTCAAAGTATAACAAAAATTTGGGATTATGATTAATTATTTGGGTTAGTTTTGTAAAGTTCTTCGCTAAAACTAATTGTTATAATTTTATTGTATCGCTTTGCAGAGTTATTCCCAAGACTCTCATGCCTCCAGAGGTATGTCTGCTGTGGTTAAAGAAAAGTCATTGGGCCTTTTGTTGTTAAATTATTGAATAAAAAATTCATGGTTTTAAACTTTTATTACATGTTTGTTAAGAGTATTAGAACAATTTGAACTTATTTCTCTCATAATACTATCGACTGCTAGTTTCTTTCTCATTAGGACATAATCTTACTTGCTTGCTTCCTTCTTTTTCTCGTCTTTTTCATTTTTTACTCATCCTTTTCCCATTTTTTTTTTTTACTTTAAGAGATTGGGTTTGATATTCTTAATCCAGATTTTCATTTCATTTTTGTGAAATGTATGCATTTTTGGCTTCCTAGTTGTTTCTCTGATCTTTCCTTTTCCTGTTTCATCCCATATTAGCTCTGAGTCTCCTCTTGTATTTTTCCTCCTTGGCCTTTTCTTTGATTCAAAAATCTTTTATGCAAGTGCTTGTAAAATATGTGTATCTGATAGTATATCCACCAGACTCTGATGGTGCTGATTTTAAATATTTTTGGACTAAAAGCCTGTTATTTCTGCAATCATCATTGCTTCACTGCTTATTAGCACAAAAATCAATACATTGGCATGGCATATTTGGTGCAATTTTAAGTCGAGAGTAACGTGTACTCAGAAAAATGAGCTAAAATCTTGTTCATAGTACCGTTAAGTCGTGTCCAGTATTGTGTAGCTTGCCTCTCTATTTCTCTATACCTGAATGTTCAGCTTTCTCAGCAATTTTGCTTTATGGGATTTTGGTACCCCTTTTCAGTTAACTGGTGAAACAGTAGGGGAAGTGAAGGCAGTGGCAGATATGCACCAAAGGAAAGCCGAGATGGCTAAGCACTCAGATGCTTTTATTGCCTTACCAGGTTAGTATAAAGCTATACTCATTTCTGCAAATATATTCCAAGTCAAATTTACAAATGATGAGCAAAAGCAATTGTTTCTTTTGGTCATATTATGAGGGCGACCGACCAGAGGAGGCAAAAGTGAATTTTTTTCACTTGCATTTTAATTCTTGGTAAGGGGTTAGTGTTCAGGATTTAACGTTCGTTATACTATCCACAACTGAATAACAAATATGTCAAGATGTAGTCATCTGTTGATGCATCGTACATATATATCTTACCCTAAAGAGAGACAAGGAGAAAAGGGTCAAAAATTCACCCAATTACACGACTTGAAGTTGTACCTAACAGTGTCATGCTCTGCCTATCCAAGAACTTCTCATTTTCCCAAATTTAGTCCACCATTTAACCAGTGTAGTTATATCTCAAATGCTCAATTATTCGACCAACTTTCGAAGAGAATAGAAGTAAAGAGTAACTACGAGAGAAATCATAACTGAAAGTTTTGCAAGGATCATGCCTGTGATGTACTAAAGGGTGAGAACATAACCCCGATTTTTTGACCCCATAGAAATGGATTGGAGTGACCAAAAGATTTATATATTCAACTCTTATTTTTCTAGAGTAAGGCTTAGTTTCTTGGTGTGTAAATAGCTTTTGTTAATAGCTTGGTTCAGTTCAAAAGCAGGACTGTATTCCTCATCTTTGAGCCTTAATATGGCAAAACATAAGTAGGTAAGGCCATTTTTTCAGTACACTTTTAACTCATAGAAACTTCGATTAGTTTATTGTACTCATATAGTCGCACATTGAAGTAGAAGATGTTGTCGTGCAATGTATAAATGGACCGTGTCAATGTGTGCAGGAGGATATGGAACTCTGGAGGAATTGCTTGAAGTCATAACTTGGGCCCAACTTGGCATCCATGATAAGCCGGTATTTCTTTATTTGATCGAACTCAAACTCTCCCTCGGAAATATTCAAAACTAAAAGCTAACTTTGCAAATTAACTAACTTGAAAGTTTCAACCTGTAAATGTATCTATCTCAAAGAAAATTCGCTGAAACTGTGAAGAGTTAAAGAAAGCACACAATTTGCAGGTAGGGTTGCTGAATGTGGATGGATACTACAATTCATTATTATCGTTCATTGACAAAGCTGTAGAAGAAGGCTTCATTAGTCAAAACGCTCGCCATATCATTGTATCTGCTCCAACCGCGAACGAGCTAGTCAAGAAGTTGGAGGTAATTTTTGTGAAGAAAACCTGTAAATTTGAATTTGTTTTTCCTGACCGTGGAAATTTTTTGTGAATTCCAGGAGTATATTCCTCGTCATGAAAGGGTTGCTTCGAAACTTAGTTGGGAGATGGAGCAGCTTGGCTACTCTCATAAATATAATATATGTGAGTAATAGTTTGGCTTAAGAGAAGTGATCGTTATATCTTGGGAATATGGCATTGGAAGAAACCAAATCGAGATTTTAAATTTTATGTTGCAGAGAAATCTTTTTTTTTTTTTTTTTTTCTTTTTTAATTTCTCTGGAACAACTTCACTATATATGATACCTTCCTATCTGGCATTGAAGTGCAAATTTGGATTCATTTGCAAGTTTAAACTACTCAATGCCTCGTGTAATTTTCTAACTAGTGGCATCTTACTGTTTTGTCTTGTCATTTGTTGTTATTCTTCTCTGAAATGTGATTCATACTTCTCTATCCTGGATGAAAGTTGCACGCGTGACAAGTCTTAAATTTTAAAAAGATATGAATTTAAGTCGAGAAGGTCCATCAAGTATAAATAAATACCTAAAACTTCTTACTTTCTAAATCGCACAAGTTTTTAGTTAGATAGTTAATAGCCGCGAATTCCAAACCGACCTAGTGAAAATGCTGGCCTACCGGGACCGGGGGGGGGGGGGGACCTTAACATCAGACGAAATGATGGTTAAGGTCCCAACTTCATTTCTGTTTTATTTCACCTTCTACAAGTGGATATATTGCATATATGTGGTCAATTGTTATGCAGAATAAGCATGTTGGGTTGTTGAATGAATCTCAAAACCAGTGAGGAATGTACTAAGTCAATTATAAACAAATATTACATATTTCTATATTAATACATATTCAATCCAGTAGACTATACTAGTCTTCTGTGTTAAAACTTTTTTTCTTTTAACCAAAAGAGGTTTTCAGTGTGATGTAACAATGTGGCTTTTGGAAGGGGTGAATAGGCATACAAAATTGATTTAGGGAATTTGAATCGGTCCGATTTAATTTAGCTAAAAATTAAATTTTTAATAACTTTCGATAAAAGTTGATGAATTATGTAGTTGAAAAGTTGTGGGATCTATGAATAAGTATAATTAAAATTGATTGTTGATTTCGATTAGATTTTTATGAACGTATTTAGCTAAACCAAATGGGGAATAATTACATTAAAGAAAGAAGGGAAAAAGAGAGAATGTGAATATGGAAAATTCTCAATGATACCGATCGAGACAAGTTTAGAAAAGGTTGAGTCTACTCGATGAAGGGATAGCATTCTATTATTTTAATATATTGGTAGGTGAAATTTCGCAAGCATAAGTGATCCTTGACAAATAATAGTGTGAAAAGAGTATGAGTATCGTTCTCACAAGAATGAGACGTTAGCTTCAATTTTATCAATTCACATTAATAAAAAAATGAGACACATGCAATTAATGGTTTTTGATGGTTTATATCAATAACTACTAATTATTACACTAAAGACTAACTAATTGCAAATGGAATTAAGTTTGGAGGAGAAAAAGGTGTTAGGAATCCTACACTATTAGTCTTCATTATAATCCTCAAATTCTATCTTTTAATCTAATTTTTGTATATATCGACAATCGATAATCTTACAACATTTATCAATCTCTCCAAAGTATAGTTAAACATATTTCTATCTATGATCCGAAATATCCATATCTTGAATTAAATACCTATAAATGCGTTAAGTCAGAAGATTGTCTCTATTGATTGCATAATGCATAAACAATTACCCCTAATGTATATATGACTTTATGTTGATTATCGCTTTGAGTTAAATCTATTTTGAACTTCCCAAAAAAAAAAAAAAAAAAAAAAAAAAAAAAAAAAAAAAAAAAAAATCACTTATTAATTTAAATGTTGATTAAGCATTCAAATAAGCATTATAAATAATATCAATCAATCAACACAAATCATAATTAAAAGAAGTCTAGAATTAAAAGTAAAAATTAATGATGTACATCATCATTTCAACATTAACGAGTTTAACCTAGAATGTTAATTTCACAAAAACACAAAAAGAATTGACTATTATTCTCCAAAAAGGAATTATGTAGTAACAATTTATTTATTTTTTCTAATCTTGAATTTTTCCGTGTGTCCTTTGCAAAATTCATTAAATCAATAAAATATGTCACTTCACATTGTAATGTTCAAAGCATGTCCCATTTTATATTCAATCTGCGATAAAAATGGTCCAGTCCACGCTAATAGTTCTCGTATATATTTGTCTGTCAACTATTTTGTCTCTGACATAATTTATTTGACGACAATTTTCACTGAATGTCGAGAATTTTTTCAATTAACCATACACATTTTCTTCAATTCGATAACTTTGTTCAAACTCTAAATCAAACATAATTATTTGTTGAACCAAAAATGTGAATTGATACAGAGAATGTGCAGCTTACAATCTATTAATGATGTGTTATCAAAATTGCCTTTTCAAAATTTCTTTATCACTCGTTATCAGACAAGAATTATAAAAGAGTCAACACAAACAAGTAGGGCTTTGACAAAATTTTCGAGCCGAACTAAATTGGACTAAAAGCGAATCGAGCGGTTATGTTCTTCTTTGGTGAAATACTCGAATGGATACTAGAACCAAGAATCGACGAGTTCTGTTCTCGATTTTAAACCAAGAATCGAATAATCGTATCTACCTAATTTTGTTTTAATTATTTTATATTGAATATGCTAAATTATTTTATCTAAATAAAATTTTCAATTAACTATATATTGAATATGCTAAATTATTTTATCTAAATAAAATTTTCAATTAACTATAAGTGCCTAAAGCTCCAACTCCCATGGACCAAGCCCAAATTGAGTCCAAAATATTTTTGGAAAAAATTCATATTTAAGAGATTAAGTATGTTCTGTTTCAAAATTAAGAAATAAGATTTAAAACATCAAAAATCATATATTAATTAAATTCTATTTATAAAATAATTAATTAAATATATTAAGATAGGTCACAATTCTATAATATTTGATCACAAATGATCAAACTAATTGATTTCAAATTATTTCTTGATCACGAATAAAAAAATTTATGTCACAAATTATCTCACGGTTAGAAACCAAAATTTTTTTTTAGGTCACAATTTATTCATCGATCACAAATCATAAATTTTATAAGTTACAATTCAAGTTTTTAGGTCACATATTATTTATTGATCATAAAATATCCAATTTATTGGTTACAATATCAAATAATTGATCATATATTATTTATTGATCACAATCAACTAAATCATTGGTCATAAACACTACCACCCCATGTCGTCTCACCCACAACCATTACACCACGGTCACGACCACCATTATCACTATCCTTAACATCATCGCCATTACTATCACCACCAGCAGTCAGCCAAAGGGTGTCTCGCCACCACCAAGGTCCCTAGCTCCACTCTACTGCTATGAATTATCGAACCACACCATAGAGCCATTGCCATCACAATTGCCAGATCCACCACCACTGCCAGCATCAAAACCACCCTGAACTCCCAACAACACCAAAATATGGAAATCACCAATACCACTCCAATAACCAAAACCAAAACAAACACTTTATCGCCACCGCTACTACCAAAGCCAAATCTACTACCACTTGTAGCACCACCATCATCACTTGTACCATTATTACCACCACCACACCAACAGCACCAGCAGTCAAGGTCTCTAGCTTCACTCCGTCAACGTCACACCATAGAGCCCCTATCGAACTACAACAGCAACAAGGATGATGGTTGCGCAACGATGCTTGTAGGTAGTCCCTGACGACAAGCGCTCCTCGACGATGACAACATTTGAGGGAGAGGATAGAGAGACGGGAGTGAAGAGAAAATAAAAGAGAGAACGGAGATGAGAAAAGAGAAAATAATTAAGGGTTTTTAATGGGTGTATTTGGTAGGTTGTGTGTATATAAAGCAATTTATAATATTATTACTAACATTAAAATATAGATTTATAATATTTGAATTAATATTTGATTTTTGTAAAAATAAACTTTAAATTTGATTTTTGAAGTTGGATCTTCAAAAATCTGGTTGAGTGTAATTTTCACATGTTTTTTTTCCTACAAATTTCAGTTCAACCCCAACTTCACATTAAAATTCACCTAACACTCGCTCACTCTATCACTTAGGTTTAGTTATTTTAAAGTCTTTATAATATTGGTTTTATCGTATTTATTTTATCCATACAATATAAAAATTCATAAAGAGAGACAAAAGAAGTAATAAAGGAAAATTTTGACAAATAAGGCCTTTCCCGTACATGGCCTTACGCCTTTGCAGAGACTTGTGTTTTTGGTAAACAGTCGCTCGGGCCGGGTCACTGTGACCCCCTTTGTGAGGAGGTACCAATGGGTGGCAAAGTGGCTTTGCTACCTATTCATGTATTCATGATTCATGTCATGGTATTGATACAATAGGGAAGAGCGCAACACCTAAGAATCAACAATACGAAAACTTTGTTAGAAATTACTCATTTCCTTATTGGGCTCGGGACTAAAAGACTGGTTTCGATTTAAATAACGGAAAATCAAATCTTTAAAAATAGTATCAAGATTGACAGGAAAAATGGAAACAAGGCCATATATAATTTGATCATTATGAGTGTTTGTCAAGGTGCATAAGAAAATACAGCAAAATTCGATCCAATTTATCATTGAATCTTGAATTAGATTGGAGAGCCTCTATTGCGATTGTTTTCAGACGCTCCCTTCTTGCAATTTATGATTTCATCTTTGCTCTTCAAGACTAGGAGTGGGTGCGATCCGATTTCAAAGGGAACCGAACCGAACCGAATATCAATGGGAATTTTATAAATGATTTAACTGGTTCCATAGATATCAATGGGAATTTTATAAATGATTTAACTGGTTCCATAGCTAACTATGGAACCAAACCCATCGGTACTGGTTCGGTTAGATTAGTTTCGATCCGATTCTTTATATTGAAAATATCAAAATAAAATATTCACCAATAAAAAATCTAAAGATGCTACCAATGTAATACTTTTAACAAAATATAGAAAAATCGCACATACTATTCAAATATTAAAGAAAACTAAGTATACAAATTTAAAAACAATATCGAAATAATATAAGTTACTATCATCAAGCAATCATCAACTTATATAAAACGCATAGTACTCTAATGATTAAACAAACTTCCATCAAAATCAAAATGAATTGGACACCCTTTAAAAATTTATTGCAACTTCTAGTCCTGTCGATTATATTTATTGAAATGTAGATGATAAATTTCGATCGAATCAACAACTATGTGATCAAAGTAAAAATTTCGTATTTAGAAATGAAATTATATATTGTAAATAAAT